TACTACTGACACGAAAATTACCAATCTAACAAAAGCTGTTTTAATAGTGTTAAATACAAACTGTTAACATTTCTGACACGAAAATTCCATCTACAAAGCTGTTTTAATAGAGTTAAATAACAACGTGTAACATCTCTGACAACGAAATTCCATCTAACAAAGCTATTTTAAAAGAGTTAAATAACAACATGTAACATCTCTGACAACGAAATTCTATCTAACAAAGCTGTTTTAATAGAGTTAAATAACAACGTGTAACATCTCTCACAACGTGTAACATCTCTGACAACGAAATTCCATCTAACAAAGCTATTTTAATAGAGTTAAATAACAACGTGTAACATCTCTCACAACGAAATTCCATCTAACAAAGCTGTTTTAATAGAGTTAAATAACAACGTGTAACATCTCTGACAACGAAATTCCATCTAACAAAGCTATTTTAAAAGAGTTAAATAACAACATGTAACATCTCTGACAACGAAATTCTATCTAACAAAGTTGTATTAATCGAGTTAAATCACAACGTGTAACATCTCTCACAACGAAATTCCATCTAACAAAGTTGTATTAATGGAGTTAGATCACAACGTTAGTCCACCTTTTTAGTTGGATGATAAATAACGTTTTAAAGACAACGTTTAAACATTTTGGTCAAGATCAATAATCAGCAAAAGGTGAAAAAGTAATTAAAATTGAATTTACAATATCCTTCGTGGTTATAAAAAGGGTTGTTTTTTTTTGCGTACGCATTTGAATCGGGGGAGGTGGGGGTGGAGAGGTCTCCCATCCATAATACAGGGAGACCAGCGACCATTCTCTTTATAACAATCGATAGGTTTACGAATTGACCAAACTGAATTGCCTTTTCGATTCAAAATAATCACTCACTATAAAGAGGAAGATTCTAAAGCTGGAGAAAATGAATCGAAAAGATAGAGATTAAGGTTTTGTTTGTTTGTTGTTAGGCACAAAGCTACACAATCTGTGTTCTACTCACTGCTATGATGGAAACCAGATTTTTAGCTTTACAAGCCCCCATGACTTTCTGCTGAGTCAAACTGGGGGCAAGGAGCATAGATAAATTTAAAAAAAATAGAAGGTCACGTAAGATGGTTATTAACCGTACTATTTTCACTTATATATATACA